GACCGTGAGATTTTGGTAGAGCAAACTGCTCTGTCATTGAAGTTAAGTTAATTAACTTAACTTACAACGCTAACAGAAGATTATTATGCTCTGAAAGAGTGAGGAGACGTTCTTGAGAGGACTTCGCAGCGCGCAGTTTGCGTGCTACTACAGTGATTTCCCTAATGTCAATATTCCTAATAGCGGAATACAGTGTTTTGTAGTCATCAGCTGTGGGCTCTGATTCTTGGGGGTAGGAGGTTGTCCGCGGTGGGTCTGCCTTTTAGGGGCCTCAGGGAAAGACTGGAGGCTGCATAGGCTTGGAGAAGCCTGGAGGGGGCCGAATTATGCCCTGAGGGGGGCCTAGGGGGACCCTGAGAGGGCCGAGAGAAGCCCTGGATGTGCTGAGAAAGACCCTGACGGGGCTGTTGGTGGAGGGCCGGGAATGAGCGGTCATCGACCGGCGGTGGAGCTTGCCTACTGGGGCGAGTTTGAGGTGCGCAGGGGAAGCCCCTGTAGTTAGCCGGGTGGCCTGTCTGTTTGCACAGGACACATGCGGGCGGGGATTCGGCGTCTTTGGGCCGGGGGGCACTCTTTGGTGTGGGGTTCGAGGCACTTAACGCACCCGGGTGGGGCGGAGCAGTTGGCCACCGCATGACCATATAGTTGGCAGCGGTGGCACTGCGCCGGGAATCCGCGCCTATGTGGGGGCTCAACCTTCACTCTCGACAGGCCACAAACTGTGCGTACCTGCCGGAAGATGGCTTTTGCGTCCGGCACGTTGGTTAGGATGACAAGGGCTAGGTTGAACCTCTTGCCCGTTCTACTGTGCATTTTGTGCACGGCTTGTGCACGGCGGGGGAAACCTTGGGACTTAAGGTCCTCAAGGATTTCCTCGTTAGTGAATTCAAAGGGGACGCCGCGGATGACGGCCCTAACTTTTCGCTCTTCCGGAAGGGCGTAGGTATGGTATGATACTCGTTCGGCTGTGAATAGCCTGGTGAGTTGCCGGAAGTTCTCGATTGAGTTAGGGATGATTTTGATACATTCCCCAAGGTTATTGGCATGGTCATATTTGATTCCTGCGTCGTAGCAGGTTTTCGAGAGTTGGGTAAATTTTGCCTTGTCTCTTAGGAATACAGGGGGTGGGACTTGCTTCTTGGCAAGGACTGGAGCACAACGAGAGGCTGGTTTGGACGGTGTGGGGATGTCTAGTGACATAAGTGGGACGGCGGCAGCGGCGTGGGCTGCGGGGTCAGAGGTGGCAGCGGGGGCTGCGGAGGTTGTAGGAGCGGCAGGGGCCGCTGAGATAGGGGGGTGCGTTTTAACGCGGCGCGCTTACCGTTGCGCTTGGAATTCACCGTGGTGAATGTAGACTCCCCGGTTCCGTCGGAGTCACAGGACTCCGATGAGCCGGTGCCTGAAGTGGTGGCGGGCCTCTTCCGGGAGGCCGGCGCAGAGGATTCGGAGCATGCGTACTCCATCTCTAGGGGGGAAAAAGACTCTAGGGGGGGCAAAAGAGTTTCTTGTTTCTAAGTATGTCGCGATAACGGGCAGCGGTTGGAGTGCCTGAGGGGCAGGGGGGGGAACCTGGGCGGAGATGGTGGCGATGGCGGCGAGGACCGTCTCATTGTTGTTTAAACCATATTGGTTTATGACGGCGGCGAGGGTCTCAGTTAGGCTATATGTGGCAATTTTGGGGCAGTAGAGCTAAGATCGGTAATGATTGGGAAGGGTCCCTGTTCTCGGTAGAACAGGGACTTCAACTCGAGACGTACTACGAGACAATATACACGTATAATAATAATGCAAGAAACAAAGAATAACAAGAAAATAACAAAAATTAACAATACAGTATAACAGTAAAAATAACAATAAAGATAACAGTAAATAACAGTAACAAGCGTAGGACAGTCAAACCTCCCCGCCCGAGGACAGGGGGGCAAGAACTTTTAGCGGTGAAAGACTCACCGGTGCGTCGGCGCTGTACAGCGCGAGCAGGACAGCGGAGGCGCGAGAGCGAGAGAGCACTACCGTACAAGGACGAAAGCGCGGACTACCTGGATGCGACCGCTCGAGAGCGGTGCCACAGGCGGAATGAATTTGTTAAGTACATTTTTATACAAAATATTTTACATGTACGCTAGGGATTGACGCAACTATATTAAAATTAATGTCGATATTTATCACGAGTGATAGACTTAACCACACAACAAGAAGAGGAATGAAAATAAATGCTCGATTTGCGTTATAAATGTAATTTTATTTATAACGCAAATCGAGCATTTGTCAAACAGATTATAGTGTCTTTTTGCAAAAACACTTCTTGTTATGGGGGTCGTGTATTTAAATGTCCTTTTCTTTGTATTTTGATATATGGTGCAGTTATACGATGGTAATTACGTATGCACTGATAAATAAAAAGTTTTCTTACGCTTAGTACTCGGGTTTTTTCATGCACCAGTGTAGTTGGATAACGATACGGAAGTAACAACTTACGTTACTTACTTTTAAAATACAGCGTTGGGCACGTTCCGCTTTGACTAAAATCGTCTTACAAGCCCCAACACATGAATAGATACCGTAACTTATTAAGGATACACAGAGAGCCCTGCAAGCTTGTAACAGTATCTTTGGACTTGCTACAAACCTTAGTAGCGTAAAAACATATTTTTTATCTTTTTACCAAGTGCTATTATTTGTTGTTTCCACTGAAGCTTTTCATCAATAATAATACCCAAATATTTTACTGTGTTAGTTTTAGTTATGGAAGTGCAGCTGCAAGACATTGGAGCTTCATCAAGCTTGTTACATGTACTTGTATGATAAACATATATAACATAAACACTCACGCCTGTCACCCAGAGGGGTAGGCAGAGATTACGGACTTCCATTTGGCACGATCCTGACATACCTCTTTCGCCTCCTTTACATCCATATATCTACGCATACATGCTCGTCGGTTAAGGGTACTTCTAACGTGGCCCATTTTCAAAATATCGCCAATTTGGTCGACAAACTTTTTTCTAGGGCGTCCCTTCCCGACTCGGCCGTTCACATCTGCCATATAAATTTGCTTTGTCACTCTTTCATCATTCATTCTTTCTACGTGACCAAACCACCGAAGCATTCCTTTCTTAATCCTGGTCACAACATCATCTTGCATACCACATTTATCTCTTATCACGCAATTTCTCACCCTGTCATTCAGATTAAACCCTAGCATATTTCTTAAAGAACGCATTTCTACAGCATTTATTCTACTTTCGTGCTTCTTCTGCCACACCCAGCTTTCACTACCATACATTAACGTAGGTACTAACACAGCATTATGAATTACCATACGTGCCTGTTTTGACACATTCTGGTTCTTCATAATAGAGTGTAGTGCCCCATTCACTCTATTCCCTGCATTTACTCGTCGTTCTATATCCCTATCATATCTACCATCCCTGCTAAATACACATCCCAAATACACAAACTCATCCACTTGCTCAATTAACTCTCCTTCTATTCTTATTTCACATACCGTTTTGCTTTCTTCTCTTTCAAAAACCATCACTTTCGTCTTACTTGCGTTCACTTTCATTCCCCTTTCTTTTAATTCCCAGTTCATTAATGTAACCATCATTTGCAACTCAGCCGCTGATGACGCAAATATGACTTGATCATCGGCATACAAAAGGCATTTGACGGTTAACTCGCCCATTCGTAAACCACATTCTTCATCTTTCAAAGTTTGCAAACACCGGTCCATAAATAGGTTGAACAGCCAAGGGGAAGCTACACAGCCCTGTCTGACACCTTTTTGGATGCCAAACCAGTCCGAGTAGACCCCATTGATCCTGACACAAGCACTAGAGTTCCTATAAAGAGACCCTAATGCCTGTATCAAACCAGCGCTCAACCCATATGAGTTCAGTGTTTGCCATAACACATTCCTGTCCACTCTGTCATAAGCCTTTTCCAAGTCCATGAACGCACAAAAAACTTTCTGGTTTTTGGCCAAAAACTTCTCCGCAATCATGCGCATGGAAAAGACTTGATCTGTGCACCCCATTCCCTTTCTAAAACCCGCTTGCACATCCTTTCACATTGTACTTGTATGAATCATTAATTTAAATTTGTCATTCAGTTGACCCGCTAGGGTCTTAATGAAACATATTAATTGTGTTTTGGTAGCAATTAGTGATATAACGAACTTATTTAACATTTGTAATATAACAACTATATTTATATTCCAAAAATAAAAAATAACATTTCCTCCGAACACCATGTACTAACCAAACATTCACTATGACTCATCTTCATGTTATTGTTATAGAAGTCGGCGAAGTACCTTCTCACACTAAATAATATTAACATTTTTGCGCTCAAAAGACGGCGAACTGCGGTGTACAGAAAAATCATATACAGATTAATGTTTCACTGTACTTATGAACTGTGTATAATATTATTTTAGTTGTAAAAAACAAAACAACTGCATCTCACTATTACACTCGTACATTCACACATTATACATTTTAGCATCACGTTATTTTCCCAAAGATTATATATATTCCCAAGTCACAATGATAGAACTTAGCGTAGTTAGGCGAATGAGACGTGTGGTTCCGCATGCCAGGATAGTGTAAATTCCATAGTATTTGATACCTGATGCCTAATGGCCGACGACAGTGAGCCGAAGGCCTAAAGTGTTAGTCGTTGAGAAGAGGAGCTCGAGGTTAAGTAATAGCTGCGCGAATCAATAAATAGATCTTTGAGATTAAGTTACACTTGCTCCAGTTAGTTACTTTAACAGTGGTAGAGCCACGCGGCAGCTTTGCTGTTACACGTATGGGCCGGCTCAAACCGGGGTGGCACCACGACCTCACAGAATACCGGCGTGAAATGGAAGGTGTGCTTCCGCGCTTCGTCTGGTGAGTGCCGGATGCCCAATCCCCCCCCCCCCATCAAGATGGTAGCGGAATTAAATATGAGACTACTCCAGGAGGGTACCAGCACCCCTGGAGAATCCCTCGATGAGCATCCACGACCAAGTTACTCCACTCCTGAGCATGGGTTTTCAGGCTGCCCTGCGTACTCGGGGCAAACGGAGCAACAAGACTAAGGCGACCCCTGCCACGCTATCCGTGAATTTCCGCAATATCAGTGGACTTCACTCTAACCTAAACGCCGTCCACTACCATCTCGAGACGGCGAGGCCGGCTCTGCTCTTTCTGGCCGAGACGCAGGTATCCTCTCCGCCTGATGTCTCGTATCTCTCCTACCCGGGGTACAAACTGGAACACTTCTTTGTGCCTCGGGCTGGAGTTTGCGTTTACGTCAGAGAGGATATCTCTTCTCGACGCCTCGGCAGTCTTGAAGGTTCGGACTTGTCCTTTCTTTGGATACGCGTAGACAGCGACGACCATCCGCGCGTCTACGGTGCCTCTATAGGTCCCATAGCGATAATGCCGAAACAAACCGACACTTCGACCTCGTCCCAATGGCTACAGATTCGTTGCTACAGCAAATCCCCTCCGCAGAGATTGTGATCCTTGGCAACTTTAACGCCCATCACGTCGATTGGCTTGGTTCACGTTTAACCGATCATGCGGGGAGATCTATTCATGATTTTGCCTTGGCATATGGTCTGACACAGCTGGTTACTTTGCCTACGCGGATTCCAGATGTGCAGGATCATGCACCTTCCCTGTTGGACCTTCTGCTGATCTCTAACCCGGACGGATATCAGATTTCCGTCGACACACCTTTAGGCTCCTCGGACCATTGTCTTGTCCGGTGTGTGGTGCCACTCACGCTGAAATCGCAGTTGCATTCTGCAGGCTGCCGCCGTGTTTGGCAATATAGGTCAGCCGATTGGGATAGGATGCGGTCTTTTTATGCATCCTACCCTTGGGGGCGGGTTTGTTCTCGCCGGACCATCCCAACGTTGTTGCGGATTCTGTCGCTGATGTGGTACTTCAGTGTATGGAATTTTTTATTTCTTCCTCTGTGGTGCCCATTGGAGGCAAATCTCAGCCATGGTTTGGTTGCTCCTGTAAAATAGCTCTATAACACACTCTATAAGCTCCTGCTTATAGAGTGATGCTATTTTACAGAAGATGCTACCAAGCCTGGGCTGACGCATCAAAGTCCCGGGATGTAAATACCAGCGCTCTAAAAAAAGAAGTATGTATAATTCCGCCTCTAGGTCCTTCAAAAAAGTCATTGCCAAGGCAAAGTCAGAGCACATAGGCAGAATTATCGAGAAACTAGTTCGCCTTACTTCTGGAACCCGTGCATTCTGGTCTCTCGCCAAGGGTGTCCAGGGGAATTCCTGTCAGCCATCTCTTCCATCTCTGCACTGGGAGGATGACTCACTGGCCAATGCCGCAAAGGAGAAAGCCGATCTGCTAGGCTCTTTCTTTGCATCCAACTTGACTCTCGATGACGGGGGGAGTACGCCGCCGACCATCCCGCGGTGTGAGTGCTCCATGCCAGAAGTACAGTTTACACAGTGCTTGGTTCGCTAAGCACTCCTCTCCCTGGACATCCACAAGTCGAGTGGGCCCGATGGAGTCCCTCCCATTGTACTGAAGACGTGTGCTCTGGAGTTGGCACCGGTTTTAACGCGTCTTTTCTGGTACTCCACACTGGTCTTCCACAAGGTTGCGTGCTATCGCCAACGCTGTTTCTTCTGCATATCAATGATATGTTGCAAACCCGTAACATTCATTGCTATGCAGATGACAGCACTGGTGATGCTCTTTACACCGGCCGTGCCAATATTTCTCGGGAAAACGTCTCCGAGTACCGGGACAAACTTGTGTCTGAAGTCGAGTCTTTGCTGAACAGAGTCTCGGATTGGGGGCGACTAAATCTAGTCCAGTTGAACCCCCAGAAGACACAAATTTGCGCGTTAACCGCTAAAAAAAACCCCTTTGTCGTATCTCCTCAGTTTCAAGGTACTCACCTTGTTGCCTCAGCCAGTATCGGAATCCTCAGCGTCAACATATCGAGTGACGTGCAGTTTCGAGGTCACTTGAAAGAGAAGGCCAAATTGGTCTCTAAAAAGCTTGGCTTGCTCAGGAGAGCGGGACAGTATTTCATGCTGGCACACCGCCTGCAACTTGACAAGGTGCAGGTTCAGCCGCACGTGGAATACTGTTCCCATCTCTGGGCTGGGGCTCCCCAGTACCAGGTCCTTCCACTTGACCGCATCCAGCGCAGAGCAGCTCGAATCGACAACAACCGAGTGCTTTCCGATCGGCTCGATTTACTGGCGTTGCGAAGAGATGTTGCATCTCTTTGCATTTTCTTTCGCATATACCATGGGAAGTGCTCTGAAGAATTGTTCGGATTAATCCCAGCCGCCAAATTTCATGAACGCACTACGCAGCAAACGTCCCGATACCATCCACACCATCTGGATGCTTGGCGGTCCACCACTGTACGTTTCAAAAGGAGTTTTCTTCCGCGTACGACCTCTCTGTGGAATAGTTTACCACCGGTAATTTTTCGGACCAATACGACCTGGGGACTTTCAAGAAAAGAGCTTACTCCTTTCTAAAGGGCCGGCAACGCACCTGCTATTCCCCTGGTGTTGCGGTTGATCATGGGCGGCGGTGGTCACTTAACATCAGGTGAGCCGCATGCTCGTTTGCCCCATCTTCTATATAAAAAAATAGGTGGGTGACCGTTTTCTTAACATACATATAACATAGATTGAGAGAATAAAGAGTGCATATTTATCCTCAGACACTTGGTACACTTTAATATCTACTACGTATTTGGCCATTCTCTGTTAAGATCATTGGATTTTGACAAATGAAAGAGAGATTAGCCTCATAAATATACTGGCCTTTAAACAAAGCGATCTCATTTTACTTATTCCTGCAAGATTAAATGTGAATATAAACTTAATGATTTAAGGACGCGTTTACAAAATTTATAGGTATAGAATCGCACTACTACATCGACAAAAGTCACACACGCAAGTGCACGCACGGTTGGCTGTGGGAATCGTAGTCAAATGAAATTATTTTGATAATTTGAAAGATTGAATTTGTTTTTCATTTCTTATACCTCAGAAATATACTTAGATACGAAATACGAATACCTGCTCCAGAGACTGCTTGGCACTGGAAGCCCTCTACTGGTAGTGAGATGTTAGCTCTGGACTTTGAACTGGTTTTGTCAGTTATAATAAGACCTTACCTACCTGTGGACTTGATGGAGTGACCTGAAGGTGTAATTCGGTGATTACAACAGGAACTCCTAGACTAGCAGACTAGTTCTACTAGCCTAGCAGTTCTACTCGTGCTGGAATTCCAGCATTAGTTACCGAAATACACCTTCGGGTCATTCCATCAAGTCCGATGGTAACGTATCTCATCGTAACTAACAAAACGAACCCAAGCTCGGCGCACCTAGTTCTACTAGTCCAGGAGTTCCAGTTTTAGTCACTGAATTACACCTTCTGGTCACTCCATCAAGTCCGGTGGTAACGTATCTCATCGTAACTAACAAAACGAACCCAAGCTCGGCGCACCTAGTTCTACTAGTCCAGGAGTTCCAGTTTTAGTCACTGAATTACACCTTCTGGTCACTCCATCAAGTCCGGTGGTAACGTATCTCATCGTAACTAACAAAACGAACCCAAACTCGGCGCACCTAGTTCTACTAGTCCAGGAGTTCCAGTTTTAGTCACTGAATTACACCTTCTGGTCACTCCATCAAGTCCGGTTGTAAGGTTGCGTCGTAACTAACAAAACGAACCCAAACTCGGCACACCTAGTTCTACTAGTCTAGGAGTTTCAGTTTAATCACTGAATTACACATTCAGGTCACTCCATCAAGTCCGGTGATAAGGTTGCATCGTAACTAACAAAACGAACGCAAACTCGTCACACCTAGTTCGACTAGTCTAGGAGTTCCAGATGTAACCACCTGATTACACCTTCAGGTCACTGAATCAAGTCCGGTGGTAAGGTCTCATCGTAACTAACAAAACAAACCCAAACTCGGCACACCTAGTTCTACTAGTCTAGGAGTTTCAGTTTAATCACTGAATTACACATTCAGGTCACTCCATCAAGTCCGGTGATAAGGTTGCATCATAACTAACAAAACGAACGCAAACTCGTCACACCTAGTTCGACTAGTCTAGGAGTTCCAGATGTAACCACCTGATTACACCTTCAGGTCACTCAATCAAGTCCGGTGGTAAGGTCTCATCATAACTAACAAAATAAGCCCAAACTCGGCACACCTAGTTTTACTCTGCAAGAAGTTCAAATAGCGGTCACGAAAGTACACCTTCAGGTCACACCTTCAAGTCCGGAGGTAAGGTCTCATCATAACCAACAAAATGTGCGCAAACTCGGCACACCTAGTTCCTCTCGTCCAGGAGTTGCAGTAGTAGTTACCTTCAGGTCTCTCTATCAAGTCCAGAGGTAAGTTTATATATCCTACTTATTTTTAGCTAAATAAAAAACTGTGAGTATAAAAATAATAATTTTATCACTTGTCAAGTACTTATGTTTCCAGTTTGTTATTTTCTAATATTTTGTGTATGTACAGCGATCTTTTCAGAATGAGCCGCTGCAAACAGGCGATACATCAGTTTTTATTTTTTCTACGACTATTTGTGACATTTTGATAAAAAATAAACACATGGTTTTTTAATTGAATATGTCTGTCATCTTATAGTATTTTTTAATTTTTTTAAATATGATGATAATAGACCAAAACATGAAACTCAAGCCGGTATCGTTAATTTTGTAGAAAATGGCAACGAATGTTCGTTTTTACAATATAAAAAACTACTATTTTCAACAAAAGAGTTACATACGTTCAGATGAACAACCAATCTATACATGGTAGTTTTTACTTATATTTGATTTGGTTTAGTTTTGTCACAAAATCTACCGAAAAACACCATAATTTTGGTTGATTTGCAAACGCGTCTCTAAGCAAAATCATTAAGTTTACATTCATATTTAAGTCTAATGTTAAAATAAATTTCCAAAATGTATTTAATTATTAATTATTAAATATTTTTAATTATTAAAAGTAATATAAAAAATGAAGCAGTCATTATGTATGTACTTCGTGTTATTCGTACGGACCATAAAAAATTAAAATATATTAGCGTATAGACCATCTGACAGCCCGTAAACGCGAGACAAATTTTGAATTTTGAGTGTGCGTTCGCTAGTGATGTACATTTTACTTACAAGGACTATCGAAAAATGATTATTAAGAAAGATGGGTATAAAGGTTAAAAAAGTAATTTAGCGCACGAACCTATTCTTAAATAAAAAAAATGTTGATATAACATGTTCCCGAAAACAAGCAGCACCTACGTACGTTTTGTAGGATTTTAAAATAATCTCTAAAGAGAATCAGAGACTCCAAGAATCAGCTAGGAAAATTGTATTTTGGACTTTTCGAAGAAATATTTACTGCCATAGACAGTGTCCTCGGAATTTTCTTTCAATATAATTTTAATCTAATATGAATAAGTAGATACTTAATTAAGTAAACACCT